TATGTCTGCCGTCATAAGTATGCCGTAATATGTCTGCTGTCATAAAACTGCCGTCATAAATCTGCCGTCATAAATCTGCCGTCATAAGTCTGCCGTCATAAGTCTGCCGTAATATGTCTGCTGTCATAAAACTGCCGTCATAAATCTGCCGTCATAAATCTGCCGTCATAAGTCTGCTGTCATAAGTCTGCTGTCATAAGTCTGCTGTCATAAGTCTGCTGTCATAAGTCTGCTGTCATAAGTCTGCTGTCAGACTGTATCATATAGTTATACGTTAATATTAGGTTGTATTTATGACATGCTTTTGCATTATGTCCTCATCAAGGAACTGAATTAGGTTTTCTTTTTGTTTTCCCTACAGTGACCCCTGGGACACCCGGCTCTGTAGAATGTGGTCACACGTCTTCACCTCTAAAGATTCTGGAAGCTAACAACACAGCGCTAGTGCTGAAAATCTAAACATAAATTCTCTTCGACTGACATATTTTGCTGGCATTATTCTGCGATTTTATTGCAAGAAATAATAGAATTCACATGAAATACACTAAAGATACTTTTTAGTTACGGTCATTGTTTGTTTAACCGCTTCCCGACCACCCTATAGCAGAAGTACAGGATGCGCAAAACTTCGTGTGTGTATATATATATATATATATATATATATATATATATACTGTATATGTGTGTGTGTATATATATATATATTTATTTATTGAAATATGACCAAAGTCATATAACAAAATACACTTTGGCATAAATGTATGTAGAATATTTTTTTTTTTTGTATTTTTTTTTTTCATTGGATATGTTTTATAACAGAAAGTAGAAAATATTGGGGTTTTTTGGTTTTTTTTTTTAGATGTTTGGTCTTATTTCATTTATATATTATTAACTTCTTCCCTACCGCGCTATAGCCGAAAGGCGGCTACAGCACGGTTGTCTAGTTCTAGGATGATGTCCATGGACGTCATTCCAGAACACGCGCCCCCAGCGGCACGCACCCGGTGTCGCCGGTGATTGCTGTGTCCTGCAGATGACAATGACACAGCAGATCACCGGTAAATACAGTTGCTGGTTATCGGCTGCACTTTCTTCACGCTGTCACAGCATGAGGAAATTACTGCTGATAACAGGCAATTGTCAGAGAACAGATCAGCACCGATCATCAGGACAATAATGATCAGTGCCCAGCAGTGCCACCGACCTGTGCCACTCACCTGTGCCCATCAGTGCCGCCCACCTGTATCCATTAGTGCCTCCCACCTGTGCCCTGCAGTGCCACCCACCTGTGCCCAGCAGTGCCACCCACCTGTGCCCAGCAGTGCCACCCACTTGTGACCATCAGTGCCACCCACCTGTGCCTAGCAGTGCCACTCACCTGTGTCTAGCAGTGCCACCAACCTGTGCCCAGCAGTGTCACCCATCAGTGCTGCCCAGCAGTGCCACCCATCCAGGGGCGGACTGACAACTCATGGGGCCCCCGGGCAATAGGGGATCATGGGGCCCCTGTGTCCTTGCCCAAACTCAAAAAAGACTATGAAAAAGGTACCAGGGGCATCTCATGGGGCCCCCTACTGACCCCTGGCCCTCAGCAGTGCCCGAGTTTCCAAATGGTCAGTCCGCCCCTGCGCCCATCAGTGCCTCCCATCAGTGCCGCCTATCAGTGCAGCATCATCAGTGCCAGCTCATCAGTGCCGCCTATCAGTGCAGCATCATCAGTGCCGCCTATCAATGCTGCCTATCAGTGCCTCCTATCAGTGCCCACCAGTGGTGCCTATCCGTGCCACCTCATCAGTGCCCATCAGTGCTGCCTATCAGTGCCCATCAGTACTGCCTATCAGTGCCGCCTCATCAACGCACATCGGTGAAGGAGAAAAATTACCTGTTTGCAAAATGTTATAACAGAAACAAAGAAAAACTTTTTTTTCTCAAATATTTTTACCTTTTTTGTTTATAGCGCAAAAAATAAAACCCCCAGTGATGAGTACATACCACCAAAAGAAAGCTCTGTTTGTGTGAAAAAAATGCTAAAAATGTCATATGGGTACAGTGTCGCATGACCACGCAATTGTGATTCAAAGTGCGACAGCGCTGAAACATGAAAATTGGCCTGGGCAGGAAGGGGGTAAAAAAAAAGAGTGGTGATCAAATACCACCAAAAGAAAGCTCTATTTGTGTGAAAAAAATGATAAAAATGTCATATGGGTACAGTGTTGCATGACAGCGCAATTGTCCTTCAAAGTGCGAAAGATGAAAATTGGCCTGGGCAGGAAGGGGGTAAAAAAAAAAAAAAGCTGAAAATTGGCCTGGGCAGGAAGGGGGTAAAAGTGCCCAGTAGGCAAGAAGTTAAAAAAAAAAAAGTGGTGATCAAATACCACCAAAAGAAAGCTCTATTTGTGTGGAAAAAAAATAATTTGCATAATTTCCCATATGGAAGAGGTGATTGTAGCCGTATTAGTGCATTTGCAACAGAAACAATTGAGTACTGTCCGTGATACTTTTTTTTTATTTGCACTAACATACAATTTTGAGGACAAGCTTTCGGAGTATGTCCCCTTCTTCAGAGTCCAAGCACTGCTTTGCTGGACTTTGAAGAAGGGGACATACCCCGAAAGCTTGTCCTTAAAATTGTATGTTAGTGCAAATAAAAAAAGTATCACGGACAGTACTCAATTGTTTCTGCCATATGGAAGAGAAATATATTTCCAAAATATTTAGAAAAAAAAAAATTATACATGCAACATATATTTACAATATATGGGCCTACATGAAAATATTTGAACATGTATTCCAAAAATGTAAATTAAAATATATCTTCCAAAGGCATATATTTAAAAATATATTTTTTAAAATATATTTTCCAGATATTTTTGAACATCTAAAAAAATGCATTTAACATAGATTTTTAAAAAAATACTTGTAAATGCATTTCAAATGACACTTTGAAATATATTTCAGCATGTTTTCTGAATATATTTTTAACCACTTGCCTACCGGGCACTTATACCCCCCTTCTTTACCAGGCCAATTTTCAGCTTTCAGCGCTGCCGCACTTTGATTGACAATTGCGCGGTCATGCAACATTGTACCCATATGAAATTTTGATCATTTTTTTCTCACAAATAGAGCTTTCTTTTGGTGGTATTTAATCGCCACTGGGCGCTTTACTTTTTGCGCTATAAATAAAAAATTGCCAAAAATTTGAAAAAAAAAAAAGTTTCTTTGTTTCTATTATAAAATTTTTCAAACAGGTAATTTTTCTCCTTCACTGATGTGCGTTGATGAGGCAGCACTGATGGGCACTGATAGGCGGCACTGATGGGCACTGATAGGCAGTACTAATGAGGTGGCACGGATAGGCGGCACTGATAGACAGCACTAATGAGGTGTCACGGATAGGCGGCACTAATATGCAGCACTGATAGGCGGCACTGATAGGTGACACTGATGATGGGTACTGATAGACGGCACTGACTGGCATCACTGCTGGGCACTGACTGGCGGCACTGACTGGCACAACCGCTGGGCACTGACTGGTGGCACTGACTGGCAGCACTGCTGGGCTGCACTGGTGGGTGGCACTGGTGGGCAGCACTGGTGGGTGGGCACAGGTGGGTGGCACTGGTGGCACAGGTGGGTGGCACAGGTGGGTGGCACTGCTGGGCACAGGTAGGTGGCACTTCTGGGCACAGGTGTGTGACATTGCAGAGTGGCACAGGTGGGTGCACTGCTGGGCACAGGTGGGTGCACTGCTGGGCACAGGTGGGTGATCTGCTGGGCACAGGTGGGCGGAACTTGCGGGTGGCACTGCTGGGCACCGATCATCAGGGCACTGATCATCAGTGCCCTGATGATCAGTGCCGATCCCCGCTCTGACAACTGCCGGTTCTCGGCAGTACTTTCCTCACGATCTGACAGCGTGAGGAAAGTGCAGCCGAGAACCGGCACTTGCATTTCCCTCTGATCAGCGTGTCATTGGACACCACTGATCAGGTGGTAAAAGGCCGCTGTGATTGGCCTTTTACCACATCACGTGATCAGCTGTGTCCGTAGGACACAGCGATCACGGAGATCGCCGGGTGCGCGCCCCCTGGGGCGCGCAGGAGAGCGCGTTCTGGGGGGACGTCATATGACGTCCACTCAGAACTGGCCGGCCGCAGTGCAGCCGTCATTCAGCTATCTGCAGTCGGCAACAAGTTAATAATATATTCATAAATATATTAAAATATATTTTTGAAATATATTGAATAGGGCCAAAATTGTAGTATTTGAAATATAGGTCAATATATTTGGGAAGAATATGTTAAGAATGTATTTTTAAAATATATTTAAAATATATTTTATTTCCATGTGGGTTTGCTTGGAAAGTTTGGAGACCCCTTTTGTATGTACTTCCAATTCATTGAGAGGACACAACCTTCCTTCACATAGCCTGGATCTACTGAACCTTCCTGCCATCCATTTTGTGCCAGGTAAAACCCTATGGCAGTCCGACTTGGATGCCCCTGGATGGAAACCATGCAAATATCCCAGTCAAGTATCCTCTACGTCTCAAAAGATCAATAGACTGAAAAGTAAAGTGTCAGTTACAGGGGCGGACTGACAACTCATGGGGCCCCCGGGCAATAGGGGATCATGGGGCCCCTGTGTCCTTGCCCAAACTCAAAAAAGCCTATGAAAAATGTACCAGGGACATCTCATAGGGCCCCCTACTGACCCCGGGCCCTCGGGCAGTGCCCGAGTTTCCAAATGGTCAGTCTGCCCCTGGTCAGTTATAAGTGGAGTGTGGTCTCCTAGGGCTTATGATATGCTTTGAAGGCTCCAATGGCCAAATCTACCATCATAGTCTGCAGCATTGTTCCTGCTTACATTGGGGTTTTGGGTTTTCCTGTCCAGCATGGAGCCAATGAGAGACATAGGAAACTGCTAAGAGGTTTAATTCTCAGGCATCTATAAAATATCTGAATTTAATGTTTTTTAATGGATGACTTATTAAAATCTCATGGACAGGGGCGGACTGACCATTCGAACACTTGGGCACTGCCCGAGGGCCCGGGGGGTCAGTAGGGGGCCCCATGAAATGCCCCTGGTACCTTTTATAGGCTTTTTTTTAGTGTGGGCAAGGACATGGGGCCCCTTGATCCCCTATTGCCCGGGGGCCCATGAGTTGTCAGTCCAGTCATGCTCATGGACCTTGGTTTCTTTCTTTTGAAATGCTGTATTTCATATCTTGTAATCAGTAACCGTTTGCAAAATTGTAATTATGCTTTGCGTTTTATCATAATGTGCAATAAACATTTATTAAACACATTTTTTTTTAAATAAATTTTTATTTTTAAATTAATTACACTTTTTTAAACAAAAAAAAAAAACCTTTTTCTGTAGTATTAAAAGCAGGAAGGTGCTGCGTGAATTATGTGCCAAGAATCATTGTGATCCTGCCCAGAAACACTCGGAAAATGCAGCTGAATCTCATCACAACAGATTCAAGAGAAACAAATGATGGGTTTTGGGGAATTTCTATTTAATTTTTCTTTTAAAAGCTCACAATCTAATCAACTAAAGTTTTATTATTAAAAAAAAAAATCGTTACTTATTAAATAAATTTGACACACCGTGAATTCATGAATATTTGTTTGCAGAGGGTGCTAGGCTTTTCTAATTAGAAAGCCAAGAATTTGCTGTAGAAATTTTAAGATCTTACCATCTCTGCTTTGAAATGGAGGTAATAACATGATATAAACTATATTGCCAAAAGTATTGGTCGGCCTGCCTTTCCACGCACATGAGCTTTATTGGCCTCCCAGTCTTAGTCTGTAGGGTTCAATATTGAGTAGGCCCCGCCCTTTTCAGCTATAACAGCTTCAACTCTTCTGGGAAGGCCGTCCACAAGGTTTAGGAGGGTGTCTATGGGAAGGTTTGACCATTCTTCCAGAAGCACATTTGTGAGGTCAGGCACTGATGTCGGGGGAGGAGGCCTGACTCACAGTCTCCGCTCTATTTCATCCCAAAGGTATTCTATGGGGTTGAGGTCAGGACTCTGTGCAGGCCAGTCAAGTTCCTCCACCCCAAACTGGCTCATCCTTTTCTTTATGGCCCTTGCTTTGTGCACTGGTGTGCAGTCATGTTGGAACAGATAGGGGTCATCCCCAAACTCTTCCCACAAAGTCGGGAGCATGAAATTGTCCAAAATGTCTTGGTATGCTGACGCCTTAAGAGCTCCCTTCACTGGAACTAGGGGGCCAAGCCCAACCCCTGAAGAACAACCCAACACCATAATCCCTCCTCCACCAAACTTTACACTTGACGCAATGCAGTCAGGCAAGTACCATTCACCTGGTAACCTCCAAACCCAGACACGTCAATCGGATTGCCAGACAGAGAAGTGATTGGTCACTCCAGAGAACATGTCTCCACTGCTCTAGAGACCAGTGGCAGCATGCTTTACACCACAGCATCCGATTCATTGCATTGCACTTGGTGATGGAAGGCTTGGATGCAGCTGCTCGGCCATCGAAATCCATTCCATGAAGCTCTCTAGACACTGTTGTTGTTTACATGTTAGTCTGGCGCAAAAGACAAAATCCTCCTTTCAACCAAAAAAAAGTTTAAATCCTATACCCCATTTGATCCGAGGAAGGAAAAAAAACCCCCAGCATCGACTTTGCGTGTGGTCTAACTCGTGCCGTCCGCGTTTCCCGCTCCACTAAATTCCAACAACCTCTCAAAAAATTCCAAACCCTTTCTCATCTCAAAAGTTTCGGAAGTTTCCAACAAAGTGTTTAAAGTGGTATCACCCCATCATCTTAATAAAATTCCCTCTTGTCCTCTTTCAAACCTTAATTTTTTTTTTATCCTGCCCTTCCATAACACCCTCAATTGAGTTTCCTCCTTTTTAAAAAAAATTTTTCCCCCCCCCGGGGGGGAAAAAAAAAAAAATTTTTATACATTAAAAGGGAAAAAAACCCCTTTTAAAAATTTTAGAAAAAAAAAAAAAAAAAAAAAATTTTTATTTTTAACTTAAAATTTCCCCAAAAAACCAAAAAAAAAACCCCAATTAAAAAAAACTTTTTCCCCAAAAAAAACCCCCCCAAAACCCCAAAAAATTCCCTTTAAACAAACCCCCCAACCCCCTTTTTATTTCCCCCCCCCCAAAACATAAAATTTTTAAACCAAAACCACTTTTTTTTAAAACCCCCCTTTTTGGGGGCCGGAAAAAAACTTTTCCTTTTTTTTAAAACGCCCCACCAACCCCCCCCCCCCTTTCTTTTTCCCCCCCCTTTTTTAAAAAAATTTTTTTTAAACCAATAACAATTTAACCCCCAGTTTTTTTTTTTTTTTAAAGGGAATTTTTTTGACTTTTTTTTCCCCCATTTAAGGTTTTTTTAAAAAAAACTTTTTTTATTTTCAAATTTGATACCCCCAAACTTTTAACCTTTTTAAAATTTTGGGGGGTTTTCCGGGTTTTCCCCCAAGCAAATATTCCCGGCTCCACTTTTTTCAATTCTTTCGAAAAAACCCTTTTTCCAATTTTTTTTTAAATTCCTTTTAATTCCAATGACAATACATACAACAATGGGGACAGGTGGGCATCCCGTCTATGTTCAATTCAAACATCCCAATAGGTTCCACGACCTCTCTCTGTTAACTAAAAATAACCGTGGAGGGCTTTCTATACATTTTCCTATCCACTCTCTCATCTAACTCCAGTCCTAGAGTCACCAGAGTGTGCCAACATGATGCCTGCCCATCTACTCTATCGAATGCCTTTTCAGCTCGATTGAAAGCACCACCGCGCCCGGGGTTTTCCCCTTCCTACTTCATGGATAACAACAAAGTTCTTCAAACCTATGGTCTCTCACCCTCTCTGCCCCGGGACTAAATCCCACCTGAACCCCCATGGATCCATTCTGGCATTAATTATTTCATCTATTTGCTAGACCTTTGCATATAACTTAGTGTCTATTCAAAAGTTGAGGATTGGTCTATAGCTAGAGCACGGAGAAGCATCCTTCCCTTCCTATTGAATAAGCACCACAAGGGGCCTGCAAAGATTCCCGCCTCATCATCATCTCCCCACCCAGTGGCATTCATATATATTCCTTCAATCTAGGTATTAACAAATCACTATATTTTCATATAATAACGTCGATAGTATATCCATCACTATGGGGATTGAGACTATTCCCGTTCAAGGTACTCTAAAGTGCTAATAAAGATTTCCTCATTAAAAACTCTTCTCCTCTCCGCCTTCCATCATTATCTCTAGTTCTTTCTTTCTTTTTTTATTACCTTCTGTCTTATCTCTTTTGTTATTCTACTTTTATGTATCTGCTCCAGGTCAAATATTTCTTTTTTCACGTATACCACGTCCACCACCACCCCTCTGTCTAAGTATACCATGTTCACTGCCCCCACTCTGTCCAAATATACCACGTCCACCGCCACTCCTCTGTCCAAGTATACCACATCCACAGCCACCCCTCTGTCCAAGTATACCACATCCACCGCCCCCACTCTGTCCAAGTATAACCACATCCACCGCCCCCCACTTTGTCCAAGTATACCACATCCACAGCCACCCCTCTGTCCAAGTATACCACATCCACCGCCCCCACTCTGTCCAAGTATACCACATCCACCGCCACCCCTCTGTCCAAGTATACCACGTCCACAGCCACCCCCTCTGTCCAAGTATACCACATCCCACCGCCCCCACTCTGTCCAAGTATACCACGTCACACCGCCACCCCTCTGTCCAAGTATACCACGTCCCACAGCCACCCCTCTGTCCAAGTATACAACGTCCACCGCCCCCACTCTGTCCAAGTATACCACGTCCCAGTATACCACGTCCACCCCTCTGTCCAAGTATATCCACGTCCACCCCGCCACCCCCTCTGTCCAAGTATACCACATCCACCTCCACCCCTCTGTCCAAGGTTTTGCTCACCTCATAAAAAGAAATCAGATTTGTTTGAAAACTTCTGTCTTTCATGAATCCATGCTGTCTGTTGCTTAAAATATTTTTTACCAGAAAGAACTAATCTATGTGGTGTTTTATTAAACACTCTCAATATCTTCCCAACTATAGAAGTTAAACTAACAGGTCTATAATTACTTGGTAAAGAATTTGGTCCCTTTTGAAATATTGGCACCACATTGGCCTTACGCCAATATTAATACTTTCGGCAATATAGTGTATATCAAAGAGAGCGCACTTGGTGAAAAACAAAACAAAACATAATCCCACCAAATCACAACATAGGCTCTTTTCCCTCCATTAAACCACACATGGAACTCTGACCATTGTCAAAGCTCCATACCATATTTGATCCCCTATCATTCAGCAGGATTTCTGGCTACCAGGTGTCTTTCATACAGGTAACAAGCTGAGAATAGAAGCAGTCTCTTAAAGGGAGTGCTGCTAATCTCATTTTGTTACCTGTATAAAAGACACCTGTTCACAGGAGCAATCAAACAATCAGATTCCAAACTCTCCACCATGGCAAAAACCAAAGAGCTGTCCAAAGATGTCAGGGACAAGATTGTAGACCTACACAAGGCTGAACTGGGATACCAAACTATCGCCAAGCAACTTGGTGAGAAGGTGACAACAGTTGGTGCAATCATTCACAAATGGAAGAAACACAAAGCAACTGTCAGTCTCCCTAGGTCTGGTGCACCATGCAAGATCTCACCTCGTGAAGTGTCAATGACCATGAGAACAGTGAGGAATCATCCCAGAACTACACGTGAGGATCTTGTCAATGATCTCCAGGCAGCTGGGACCACAGTCACCAAGAAAACAATTGGTAACACACTACGCCAACAAGGATTGAAAAATCCTGCAGTGCCCGCAAGGTCCCTCTGCTCAAGAAAGCACATATATATATATATATATATATACACATATACATACATACTGCATGTTGAAATGCATTTTTATTACAAAATACATGAAAAATATTTTTAAAAAATTAATTTCAACCAAAAGTTAGAAAATAAATAATTATTATTATTACTATTATTATTAGAATATAATCAACCATATTAAAAAGATACAAATTTTGTGCCATAAAAAATAATAAAAAAAAAAAAAGAATATTATAAAAAAAAAATAAAAATTATAGATTCCTTAAAATGAGTAAATGTAGACCTTTAGCAGAGTGTTGTGTGGTTTCCTGGAATACTATATAAACCTG